CTGATGGAGGAAAATGGGACATGTAGTCCAGCATCCTCTGGAGCTGTTTTTTTTTTTCAAACTTGGCAACTTTAAAACCTGTGGACTTTCTCAGAATTTCCTTTAAGAGGTGTGGACTTCAACTCCCAGAATTCCTTTAAGACGTGTGTATTTCAACCCCCAGAATTCCCTTTAAGATGTGTGTATTTCAACTCACAGAATTCTCTTTAAGACATGTAGACTTCAACTCCCAGAATTTCCTTTAAAACGTGTGTATTTCAACTCCCAGAATTCCCTTTAAGACGTGTGCATTTCAACTCCCAGAATTCCCCAGTCTGGCTGAGGAAATCCTCATTTCTTAAAATTGCCAGGTTTGAAAAACAGTGTGCGAGAGACAAAGCTAGGCTAAATGATGCCACAAAAATGATCGGGTGAAGCTTCAGTGTTAGATTTTGGGGGAGCTGATCCATGGCTGGGGACACCCCTCATGCTTCCGATTCCCACAATTACTGGGATCGAGTAGCAAAAGGAAGGATCAGTCCAGCAGACACCAATTCACTGCCTTAGTGTTCCCATCTGTAAAATGGAAATATTACTAGTTGGGGTATCCATAGGCTATGTCGAAAATGTGGGGTGGTGGTTGAAATAATGCAATTGAAACTCTGCTTGATTTTTTTTACGGGGGGAGGTCAAGATGGGAGCCTTGAGAGGGCAGGTTTTCAACTGTATTAGTGAAGTGGCCATTTTGACTTTTTTGACCTCCTCCTGGACACCCCAGATCCCAACCAACAGGCATCCTTGATCTCCAGGCCAAAGTGCAGTACTGAAGTAAATAAAAACATGCAAAAAAAAAAAAATAAGCTCTTTCACCAATGAATATTTGCCGCTGGCGTAGTGGTATCTTCAAGATTCCCATTGTTGCGTCCTGGGTTCGAATCCCGGCTAACGCACCAAAACTGTCAGGGGAAAAACTGGTTAAAGAGGAACAAGAGGCAACACCCAACGAAATTCTCACTTTAGGATCCAGAGGTTTATTTCAATTTAACATACAAAATCAGCACTTTACGTTTCAACAACGTATCGCAATAAGGACCACATGGACAGCCGTCATAAAGTGTGACGGCTGTGGGCAGGTGGCAACACTCCTATCTTTGAGGCAGGCTTTATACCTGAGCACTGGGCCCACCCCTGACATTCTGGTGTTACCCAATAGCCACCCCATTCCCCTTTTCTGGTTAAAACCATCATTGTATGACTTTCTGCAACGTTTCCGTTTGCTACTTCCCTCTTCCCGGAACTGATCTCCAGGCCAGCTCCCTCTTCCTGGAACTCACCGCTGGGTTAGTTCCTTATTCTTTTCCTGTTGTCCTGGTTATCAAGCCACTTCCCTGTTCTACTCTGTCCTTGTTCTCACCAGTACCTTCCCCACTTCCGTTTTCTACACGTCTCATTGCAGAAGTTGTACCCGGTAGCAAAAACTGTCACTGTGAGAGGGACCAAACTGTGGAGTCCTAGTGGACGATCGCTAGACTATGAGCCAGCCGTTGTGCAGCAGCAGCCAGAAAAGCTAATACAATTCTGGGTTGTATAAACAGAGGCAGAGAGTCAAGATCATGTGAAGTATTAGTACCTCTTTGTAAAACCCTAGTAAGGCCCCACCTGGAATACTGCAGCCAATTTTGGTCACCATGTCACCAAAAAGATGTTGAGAGTTTGGAAAAAATTCAGAGAAGAGCCACTAAGATGATCCAAGGCCTGGAGACCAAAACATACGAAGAACGGCTGGAGTACTTGGGTTTGGCTAGTCTAAAGAAAAGAAGAAATAGGGGAGACATGATAGCAGTGTTCCAGTATCTGAGGGGCTGCCACAAAGACGAGGGGGTCACTTTATTCAGCAAAGCACCAGAGGGAAGGACGAGAAACAATGGTTGGAAACTGATCAAAGAAAGAAGCAACCTGGAATTAAGGAGAAACTTCCTGACAGTGAGGACAATCAGCCAGTGGAACAGCTTTGCTTCCAAAAATCGTGGGCGCTCCATCACTGGAAGTTTTTAAGAAGAGATTGGACAGCCATTTGTCTGAAATGGTATAGGTTCTCCTGCTTGAGTGGGGGGCTGGACTAGAAGACCTCCAAGGTCCCTTCCAGCTCTATTCTATTCTAAGGCATTCCTCTATTCTCATACATTCTTCTCCTATGTTCCGTTTTTATGACGAAATGTGTGTCAACCCCAAACCGGCTACTGAAGGTCAACAGCAAGTGATAGCCAAGTGCCAGCAGCCGAAATTCCCAGTAATTTATGTCTCTGTTTGTTAATTTGTTAATTTAGATTGGTAGAGTCGCCCATCTCAGAATAATTAAAATCAACAGCGAGAACAAAGGTCCTATTAAAAAAAAAAGCCACCTTTTCTTGGTTTATTTTACTACATTTTGCTTTGTCGGGGTTTTAATGTGTCTTTCCTTTTAATTGCGTATAAACACCCTGGGAGCTGGTGCTCATTAAGGCAGTGTGTAAATATAATAAGGGCAGATCTAAGAGGTTGTGAATTTAGATCACAGGTTGGCAATGCCTGAGGATTGTGCGATGTTTTTTTTTTTTCTGGCAATACGCTGATCCTCACGATGGGGGGGGGGAGAGTTGAGGGCACAGGAGAACAGTTGCAAATAAAGAATTACACTTAATTTTGAGCGGCTTCCGATGGAGGATTTCAATAGAAAAACTCACAAACCAACACAGTGCTAGGCTGCATTAACAGAGGGATATAATCAAGATCACGTGAAGTCTTAATACCACTTTACAACGCCTTGGTAAGGCCATACTTGGAATCCTGCATCCAGTTTTGGTCACCACGATGTAAAAAAGATGTTGAGACTCTGGAAAGAGTGCAGAGAAGAGCAACAAAGATGATCAGGGGACTGGAGGCTAAAGCATATAAGGAAAGGCTGCTGGAATTGGGTATGTCTAGATTAATGAAGAGAAGGACGAGGGGGGACATGATAGCAGTATTCCAATATCTCAGGGGCTGCCCCAAAGAAGAGGGAGTCAAGCTATTTTCCAAGGCATCTGAAGGCAGGACAAGGGTGGAAACTGATCAAGGAGAGAAGCAACCAAGAACAAAGGAGAAATTTCCTGACAGTGGGAACAATTAATCAGTGGAACAGCTTGCCTCCAGAAGCAGTGAATGCTCAAGCACTGGAAGTTTTTAAGAAGAGACTGGACAGCCCTTTGTCTGAAATGGTATAGGGTTTCCTGCCTGAGCAGGGGGTTGGACTAGATGACCTCCAAGATACCTTCCAACTTTATTATTATTATTAACCCCAACACTTTGGTCCAGTCAAATCGATGCTGTGCCCACTTTACAGAATGGAAGACAAAGTCACGCTGGGAGTGAGATGAACGGTCTTTAAGTTGAATAAAGAAATACAGGGTAGTCCTCGACTTACGACATTTCGCTTAGTGGCTGTTCGAAGTTACAATGGCACTGGAAAAAAGTGGCTTATGACTTAAGTTCTTCACACTTACGACCGTTGGCATCACCCCTATGGTCATGTGATCCAAATTCAGACGTTTGACAACTGACGCACATTTATGACGGTTGCAGTGTCCCGGGATCACGCGATCCCCTTTTGCGACTTTCTGACAAACAAAGCTAATAGGGAAGCCAGATTCACTTAACGACGGTGTTACTAACTTAAGCACTTAACAACGGTGGCAAGAAAAATTGTAAAATGGGGCAAAACTCTTAACAATTTAACGATGACCTCGCTTAGCAACGGAAATTTGGGCTCGCAAAAGGGGATCACGTGACCCCGGTGGACGCTCCAACCGTTCTAAATGTGAGTCAGTTGCCAAGCATCTGGATTCTGATCACGTGAGTGTGGGGATGCTGCAACGGTCGTCAGTGTGAAAAACGGCCATAACTCACTTTTTTCAGTGCTGTTGTAACTTTGAACGGTCACTAAATGAACTGTTGTAAGTTGAGGACTGCCTGTCTACAGCAGTAGCTTCTCAACCTGGAGAACTTTAAGATGGGTGGACTTTGACTCCCAGAATTCCCCAACCTCTCCCGGATATTCTGGGAGTTGAAGTCCACAAATATGAGCTGAGGAATTCTGGGAGTTGAAGTCCACAAATGTGAGATGGGGAATTCTGGGAGTTGAAGTCCACAAATGTGAGCTGAGGAATTCTGGGAGTTGAAGTCCACAAATGTGAGATGGGGAATTCTGGGAGCTGAAGTCCACAAATGTGAGATGGGGAATTCTGGGAGTTGAAGGCCCCAAATGTGAGCTGAGGAATTCTGGGAGTTGAAGGCCACAAACGTGAGCTAGGGACTTCTGGGAGTTGAAGGCCACAAACATGAGCTAGGGACTTCTGGGAGTTGAAGGCCCCAAATGTGAGCTGAGGAATTCTGGGACTTGAAGTCCAGAAAGGTGAGCTGGGGACTTCTGGGAATTGAAGGCCCCAAATGTGAGCTGAGGAATTCTGGGAGTTGAAGGCCACAAACGTGAGCTAGGGACTTCTGGGAGATGGCCACAAATGTGAGCTGGGACTTCTGGGAGTTGAAGGCCACAAACGTGAGCTGGGGACTTCTGGGAGTTGAAGGCCCCAAATGTGAGCTGAGGAATTCTGGGACTTGAAGTCCACAAAGGTGAGGTGGGGACTTCTGGGAGTTGAAGGTCCCATATATGAGCTGGGGACTTCTGGGAATTGAAGGCCCCAAATGTGAGCTGAGGAATTCTGGGAGTTGAAGGCCACAAACGTGAGCTAGGGACTTCTGGGAGTTGAAGGCCACAAACATGAGCTGGGGACTTCTGGGAGTTAAAGGTCACAAATGTGAGCTGGGGACTTCTGGGAGTTGAAGGACCCAAATGTGAGCTGAGGAATTCTGGGAGTTGTAGTCTTCCCATCTTAAAGTTTTTGAGGAAACACAGATCTACAGCATCAATTCTAAAGATCGGCGAGCTGCAACATTTGAACAACTCGGTGTTGGCCCTAATCCCGTTCTCTCTCCTGTTTTCCCAGTGGAAGAAGAGAAACCGTCGTTCTGGAATGAACTGGCCGATAAAGCCATTCGGAAAGCCAGCCGGTTACAATACCGCAACTATCAGGCCAAGAACCTCATCCTCTTCCTTGGAGACGGTGAGTAGTTACATCAGGGTGAAGCCTAACCAGGCTGGAGAGGCTGCTGACTTTATTACACTCTTTCTTGTTCTTTCCCTCTCTTTTTTTATATGGAACTATTGTAGCATTTGATTTTCTCCTTCCAGTGGCTTTGGAAATGCCGCTTCCTCACTCAGGATTTTCCCAACCCAAAGTGACGGTTTCAGCTTTGCAAGAGAGAATATCTCTGCATTTGCTTATATTTTTAATCCACAGATTATGCTTTATTAACGGTGAAAAAATCGAATTAAATATTGTGAATAATAATAATAATAATAAAGCACCTGCAACATAACACCCCAGACTTAACAATTGTCGATAAGAAAGACAAAAAAGTCTGGATAGTGGATGTGGCAGTGCCTGGAGACAGCAGAATAGATGAGAAAGAACTGGAGAAGATAACAAAATACAAAGACCTACAAATAGAAATAGAAAGACTGTGGCAAAAGCAAGCAAGGGTAGTACCAATAGTAATAGGCTCCTTGGGTGCAATCCAAAAACAACTGGAGCACCACTTGAACACCATTGGCATTGACAAATTCGCTATTAGTCAATTGCAAAAGGCGGACTTACTAGGAACTGCTTCCATCCTGCGACGATATCTGTAATACCATCAAACATCCACATCTGCCTATCCCAGGTCCTGGGTAAGGACTCGATAGGTAGACAAAATGCCAAATCCAGTCTGAACATCTGGCTGACTGTGCGATGATCCAAAATAATAATAATAAAGTTGGAGGGGACCTTGGAGGTCTTCTAGTCCAAACCCCTACTCAGGCAGGAAACCCTAGATCAGGGCTCTTTTATGACTCGTGGACTTCAACTCCCAGAATTCCTGAGCCAGCACGGCTCAGCTTGGAAACCTCTCCCTTTCCCCTCAGCATGGCTGGCTCAGGAATTCTGGGAGTTGAAGTCCGCAAGTCATAAAAGAGCCAAGGTTGCCTACTCCTGCCCTAGACCATTTCAGACAAATCGCTGTCCAGTCTCTTCTGAAAAACTTCCATGTTGGAGCATTCACAGCAGGTTGTTCCACTGGTTAATTAATTGTTCTCACTAGTTCTAGGTTGCTTCTCTACTTGATTAGCTTCCATCCGTTGCTTCTTGTCCTGCCTTCAGGTTCTTTGGAAAATAGCTTGATTCCCTCTTCTTTGTGGCAGCCCCTGAGATATTGGAACACGGCTATCATGTCCCGCCTCGTCCTTCTCTTCATTAAACTAGACATGCCCAATTCCAGCAACCGCTCCTTATATATTTTAGCCTCCAGTCCCCTGATCATCTTTGTTGCTCTTCTCTGCACCTTCTAGAATTTGAACATCTTTTTTATATCTTGAATTTGAACATCTTTTTTTAAATCTTGGCAAGTATTCTAAAAGTTCTTTAAATGTTTTCTTTTGAGCAGTTGACATCCTTCCATCAATCAGTCCATTCCAGCTTTGGGTGTCATCCCTCCACCTTTCAGCAACGTCAATCGTACCCTACTTGCTCTCATGTACTAGTCCTTCAAGTTCCAGAGCTTGGGTGCCTAGACACGAATGTTCAAAGTATGAGGAACAAACGGGGAGAACTTGAAGTGCTACTACACGAGGGCAGATACGAAACCTGGTGGGATAAAACCCATGACCGGAACACACTGTTGAAGGATTTAACTTGTTCCAAACAAACCGATCTAACAAAAGAGAAGACGGAGTTGCGCAATCTACAAAAAATGCATTATATATAAAAAAGTCAAGGATGAAAACCTTGAATGCACTTGGGCTGACGTATAGGTAGTATAGTAGTGCTGAGAAGAGCAACAAAGATGATCAGGGGACTGGAGGCTAAAACATAGAAGGAACGGTTGCTGGAATTGGGTATGTCTAGTTTAAGGGATGAGGGGGGACAGGATTGCAGTGTTCCAGTATCTCAGGGGCTGCCCCAAAGAAGAGGGAGTCAAGCTGTTCTCCAAAGCGCCTGAAGGCAGGACAAGAAGCAACGGATGGAAACTGATCAAGGAGAGAAGCAACCTAGAACTAAGGAGAAACTTCCTGACAGTTAGAACAATTAACCAGGGGAACAATCTGCCTCCGGAAGTTTTGTGTGTTGTCATCCAGTCTACAAGAGAGTCCTTTCAGCAGTTCCAGGAAGGCTCCACAGCCATTTGCACCACTCAGGTGACTCTGAGGACACAGATAAGCCTCCAAGTGGCTCAACGACTCTCTGAAAGAAGGCAAATGTCCAGCTGTCTGCAAGGAGTATAAATTCTTCCATTCCCCACCACCCAGTCAGAGCTGAAGAAGCTTCCTTGCTTCTTTATATTCCTTGCAGACGGCTGGTCATTTGCATTCTTTCAGAGGGTCATTGAAGCCACCTGGAGGCCTATGTCAAAATTGAACAGCCCTCTCTCAACAGAGGGTGAGGGATATGACACCATCTATCTCCAGTCTACAACATGGTCCTTTCAGCCATTCCAAGAAGGCTGCACACCCATTTGCACCACTCAGGTGACCCTGACGACACAGATAAACCTCCAAGTGGCCTCAACGACTCTCTAAAACAGTGGTTCTCAACCTTTTTAATGCCGTAACCCCCAACCAGTCATAACTCGAGGATTACCCAACCGGTCGTAAGTCAAGGACTTTCCCTGCCCGGGAGCGCCACACATGCATGGTGCCGCCTCCTGCGCCGGCCGAGGCGTAGCTGGCAAGCGGCAGACACGGCGCAGGCCGACCACCGGCTGGGCCACCAGCTGGCCCAGCCCAAGGGAGATAAGGCACCCGCTGGGCCCCACGCGCGCCAGCAACCCTCCCTGCGCCCGCCGGCCTGCCACCTCCCACCCCTGGCCCTCTTTTACTTCCATTTTTAGTAGTTGCTCAGCACGGAGGGGTGGAAACTTCCAGACAGCTCGCCTTCGCAGCAGACAACTTGCAGCACCGTTTGCAGAATGGGGCTTTTGGCGGGCTCAGCAGGGCAGAGACAGCCTGGACAATTCCCATTGGCTTTTGAAAGCCAATAGAATTAGACTCTATTCAAGAGAGTCTATTCTATTGGATTTCAAAGCCAGTAGAATAAAAGGGAGTAGCACAGCTAAGGAAAAGGGGGAAAAAATGGCGGACTGCATTTTTTGGCGACCCCCGTGAAATGGTCGTTCGACCCCAAATGGGGTCCCGACCCACAGGTTGAGAACCGCTGCTCTAAAAGGAGGCAAATGACCAGCGGTCTGCAAGGCGTATAAATCCTTCCATTCCCCCACCCTCCGGTCAGAGCGGAAGAAGCTTCTGGGATGAGAAGCAAAACGTCTTCAAGGAAAAAACAAGAAGGTCCACTTGCCTCCTGAAAAAAGCACCTTTGGGACAAACCGCGACCTGGATGACTTGAGCATCTCCAGAAACGCCAAATGAAGATTTCATTCAGCCGTGCAGGTTTTCTCATGCTGAATTTCTCTCCTTTGGCAGGGATGGGCGTTCCCACCATCACGGCCACCCGCATCCTGAAGGGGCACCTGCAGAATCCGCCATCTCCCGAATCCCCGCTAAGCATGGACTCTTTTCCGTACGTGGCGCTTTCCAAGGTAGGAAGAAAGCCCGGGCTTTTGTCCGTCTGATCCTGGAGCTCTGAGTAGTTTGCCTAGTGCAGTGGTTCTCACCCTGTGGGTCGGGACCCCATTTGGGGTGGAACGACCATTTCACGGGGGTCGCCAAACAACGCAGTCCGCCATTTTTTCCCCCTTTTCCTTAGCTGTGCTACTCCCTTTTATTCTATTGGCTTTTGAAAGCCAATAGAATAGACTCTCTTGAATAGAGTCTAATTCTATTGGCTTTCAAAAGCCAATAGGAATTGTCCAGGCTGTCTCTGCCCTGCTGAGCCCGCCAAAAGTCCCATTCTGCAAACGGTGCTGCACCAGTTGAGTAGTCCTTGACTTACGACCGGTTGAGTAGTCCTCGACTTACGACCAATTGGGGGGTCGCGGCATTAAAAAGGTTGAGAACCACTGGCCTAGTGGACAGCCACTCATCTTTCCCTGTCCACCAAGGTTCCTGGGGCTTTAGGCAGTCATTCAACAGGGGAAGCCTATGCATGGGTCGCAGCTGGGAGGAGGGTCCTCACTTTTTCCATGCCCCTTGGGTCCGGAATCTCAAAACCAAAGTGCCTCCGTGACCACTTTGGGTAGATGAAAAGGGGTTGCAAAACCAGATTCAAGGCAGAGTCAAACAAAGGCAGTCCTCATTTTACGACCATCCGCTCGGCGATTGAGATTACGACGGCACTGAAAAAAGTGACTTATAAACAGTCACATTTATGACCATGTCGACGTCGTTTGTGACCTTCCCAGAGGGGTTTCCGACCCGCAAAGTCGGTGGGGAAAGGGGCTGAGAAGGTCACAAATTGCGACCGTGCGATGACGACTCGCTTCACGACTGCAGTGATTCACATAATGACGGTGGCAAAAAAAAGGATCATGAAATTGGGGCAGTCACCTGATGCTTCGTTTAACGACCGTGCCTCTGAAGGATGTATTTTCTGGCATCCGATTGTGAATGCAGACTGAGGAGATGGTTTTCCCCAGGCATGAGGTAGAAAAGTTGGTCACCTGTTGAACGTCAGCCTGCAGTCTGGGTTAGGCCCAGAACCGTTGCCAGTTGCAGTCAGCGATTCAAATCGTCATGCTCCAAAGAGTTTCTATAGTTAGTCCTCAACTTACAACGGTTTGGTTAGTGCCCAAAGTTACAATGGCAGTGAAAAGACTGAGTTGCAACCGTTTTTTACACTTAACGGCTGTTGCCGCATCCCCGTGGTCACGTGATCAAGAGTCAGGCCCTCGGTAATTGATTCATAGTTATGACGGTCGCTGCGTCCTGCAGATACGTAATCCCTTTTTGCGACCCGCACCCCCCTTTTTTCCTACACTTCTCCTTTCCCCTTTCCCTTCCTTCCCCCCCCCCCGCTATTTGCTTTTTGTCTTTTATATTTAAAACTAATAAAAACCATTAAAAAAATCATAAAATGGGGCAGAGCTCACTTAACAACTGTGTCGCTTAGCAACAGAAATGTCGGGCTCGATTGAGGTCGTAAGTTGAGGACTCCCTGTATTCTGCAGTTTTTTGAACCCATCAAGGAGAGGCAGCCAGTTTGAACTGGGTCTGCTTGGGCCTCTTGTTCCCAACAGCGGGGCTGGCCTTCCTTCAACCCCCATCCCGGACCGTCCCCCAGAAGCTGTTTTGAGATCCTGGGAAGACGAATACTCGGGACTTTCTCCCAGCTGTTCCTCTTGCTTTCTGCAGACCTACAATGTGGACCGGCAAGTGTCCGATAGCGCAGGAACAGCCACTGCCTACCTCTGTGGGGTGAAGGGCAACTATGGGACCATTGGACTGAGTGCCGCTGCCCGGTACAATCAGTGCAACACAACAGCTGGCAACGAAGTCGTATCAGTCCTGAAGCGGGCTCAGCTGGCTGGTAAGGATGAGCCGGCGGGAAGTGGGAAATTGGAGGCGGGTGGCTTTAGAAGAAATGTATCAATTGCAGTTTGAATTTCAATCTCAATTTCAGTCTCAATTTCAGTCTCAATCTCAATCCCAATTACAATCCCAAAACCAATCCCAATCCCAATCCTAATCTCAATCTCAAACCCAAACCCAAACCGAATCCCAATCTCAATCCCAATCCCAATCCCAATCCCAAAATCAATCCCAATCCCAAAACCAATCCCAATCCCAAACCAATCCCAATCCCAAAATCAAAATCAATCCCAATCCCAAAACCATCCCAATCCCAATCCCAAAACCAATCCCAATCCCAATCCCAATCCCAATATCAATCCCAAAACCAATCCCAATCCCGATCTCAATCCCAATCCTAATCCCAATCTCAATCTCAATCTCAATCCCAATCCCAAAACCTAACCAAAATCAAAACCAATCCCAATCTCAGTCCCAATCTCAAAATCAATCCCAATCCCAAAACCAATCCCAATCCCAATCTTAAAACCAATCCCAATCCCAATCTCAAAACCAATCCCAATTTCAAAACCAATCCCAATCTCAAAATCAATCCCAATCCCAAAATCAATCCCAATCCCAAAACCAATCCCAATCCAATCCCAATCTCAAAATCAATCCCAATCTCAACCCCAATCCCGATCTCAATCTTAATCCCAATCCCAATCCCAATGTCAATCCCAATCCCAATCCGAATCCCAAAACCAATCCCAATCCCAATCCCAAAACCAATCCCAATCCCAAAATCAAAATCAATCCCAATCCCAAAACCAATCCCAATACCAAACCAAAACCAAAACCAATCCCAATCCCAATCCCAAAACCAATCCCAATCCTAATCTCAATCCCAATCCCAAAACCTAACCAAAATCAAAACCAATCCCAATCTCAATCCCAATCTCAAAATTAATCCCAATCCCAAAACCAATCCCAATCCCAATCCTAAAACCAATCCCAATCCCAATCTCAAAACCAATCCCAATCCCAAAACCAATCCCAATCCCAATCCAATCCCAATCTCAAAATCAATCCCAATCTCAATCCCAATCCCAATCTCAATCTCAATCCCAATCCCAATCCCAATGTCGATCCCTATCCCAATCCCAAAACCAAAACCAAAACCAATTCCAATCCCAAAACCAATCCCAATCCTCCTACAAGGTCCCTTCCAACTCTCTAATTCTAATTCTAATTCTAATTCTAATTCTAATTCTAATTCTAACCTGATGGCTTTCACACGTGTCACTCCCCTTTCAGGCTGATTGTTTGAACGGCCCTTCCTTTCTCTCTTTCTCCCTCCATGGCTGCAGGAAAGTCCGTGGGGATTGTGACCACCACGCGAGTCCAGCACGCCTCCCCAGCGGGGAATTACGCCCATGTGGTGAACCGGAACTGGTATAGCGACGCCAGCCTGCCCCAATCGGCACTGGCGGGAGGCTGCAAGGACATTGCCCTGCAACTCCTCGAAAACGTGGACCTCACGGTCAGTTGGGAAGAGTTGGAAAACCCATCGGCCTTCTTTGCCAGACATTCAGCAGCTCCAGGAGCTGCTCTGAAAACATACAGGTAGTCCTCGACTTACGACCACAACGGACCCCCCAAATTTATGTTGCTAAGCGAGACATTCGTGAAGTGAGTTTCGCCCCATTTTACGACTTTTCTCGCCGCATTTGCTAAGCGAATCGTGATTACGTTCGTTGCATGGTTGTTAAGGGAATCATGCTTCCCTGTGGACTTGGCTTGTCCAAAGGTCACAAAAAGGAGACTCACGTGACCCCGGGAGTCTGCGACCGTCATAAATACGAGTCCGTTGTCAAGCATCCCAATGTGAATAACGTGACTTTGGGGATGCTGTAGTAGTGGTCGTAAGTGTGAAAAATGGCCACAAGTCCCTTTTTTCAGGGTCGTTGTAACTTCGGTCACTAAGGGAACGGTTGTAAGTTGAGGACTACCTATAATTTAAAACAAAAGAGAAAAACCGCACCTTTCCCACGAAGCCAATACCTGTCAATCATTATCACGGTGTTGGTTTTCTGACGTTTACTCGGTCCGTTTTATGATACTTCCTGTTTTTTAAATTCTTTCCAGCCACTTCGAGAGCACTTGGAATGATAAGTAGAACGGGCAATATGTATTCAGTAATAAGATAAGCCAACTTCCACTTCACCAGAAACGGGGAACGTACCGGACAAAGGTTTATAGCCTCGTGTTTTATGCTTATCGACTTTCTGCTCTGTGCATAATACAAATGATGTACCAATAAAGGAGAATGTTTGTATCTCGGGGCTGAATGAGGTGGTCTCTGAGGCTGGGCTGTTTTCTTGGAGACGTTTCGTTACCTGAATAGGTTACATCATCAGTGCTAGACCTGATTAGTGCTGGTCCAGAGTAACACTGATGATGTTGCCCAGTTAGGCAATGAAATGTCTGCAAGTAACAACCAAGCTCAGAGAGCACCAAGGGCCCCACCGTTGTCAATCACTACCACCTCCTCCTTCTCCTCCTCCTCCTCCCCTCCCCTTCCTCCTCCTCCTCCCAGCACTGATGATGTTACCTAGTTAGGCAATGAAATGTTTGCAAGACAACCACAAGTTCAGAGAGCACAAAGGACGCCACTATCATCAATCTCCTCCTCCTCCTCCTCCTCCCTTCTAGCACTGATGATGTTACCTAGTTGGGTCATGAAATGTCTTCAAGGAAACAATCAAGCTCAGAGAGCACCAAGGACCCCATAGTCTTCCTCCTCCTCCTCCTCCTCCTCCTCCTCCTCCTCCCTTCTAGCACTGATGATGTTACCTAGTTGGGTCATGAAATGTCTGCAAGAAGACCACCAAGCTCAGAGAGCACCGAGGGCCCCATAATCCTCCTGCTCCTGCTCCTGCTCCTGCTCCTGCTCCTGCTCCTGCTCCTCCTCCTCCTCCTCCTCCTCCTGCTCCTCCCTTCTAGCACTGATGACGTTACCTAGTTGGGTCATGAAATGTCTTCAAGGAAACAATCAAGCTCAGAGAGCACCAAGGACCCCATAGTCTTCCTCCTCCTCCTCTTGCTCCTCCTGTTCCTCCTCCTCCTCTGCATCCTCCACCACCACCTCCTCCTCCTCCTCCCTTCTAGCACTGATGATGTTACCTAGTTGGGTCATGAAATGTCTGCAAGAAGACCACCAAGCTCAGAGAGCACCAATGGTCCTACAATCCTCCTCCTCCTCCTCCTCCTCCTCCTCCTCCTCCTCCTCCTCCTCCCAGAACTGATGACGTTACCTAGTTTGGGCCATGAAGCATCTGCAAGAATGGGCCCCAGGAAATAATGTTTTCTGCACACTCTCCTTCCCTTGGCAGGTGGTCCTGGGTGGGGGCAGGAAATACATGACCCCTCAAGGCACCCCAGACCCCGAGTACCCCACCCAAAACTCAACCAGAGGGGTTCGGAGAGATAACAGGAACCTGATTGAGGAATGGCTCCGAGCTTCACCGGTAAGTGATATTCTTTTTCCGCCTCTTCTCCCATCGGCTGCCACTCCATTTGGGACGGAGCTACAGATCTCGACCTTGCTCCAGCAGAACGGCCGTTACAGGTGGTCCTCAACTTACGACAGTTCATTTAGTGACGGTTCACGGTTACAACGCCACTGGAAAAAAAGTGACTTAGGACCGTTTTGCATATTCAGAACTGTCGCAGCATCCCTATGATACTAGAGCCTTGGCGACTGACTCGTGTTTATGACGGTCGCAGCGTCCCCCTTCTGACAAGCAAGACCGATGGGGATGCCAGATTGATTGAACCCCTGCCGTGTTTCACTTAAGAACGGTGGCAAGCCGGGTCGTAAAACGGGGCAACAGCGCAGCAACCGCTTAGCGACAGAAATTTGGGGTTGAGCGGTGGCTGTAAAGGCTGCCTGTATTCCACACGCTGGGAAGACGGTTCAGTTCAAAGAAACGGAAACTTAAAAACACTGGAAGTTTTTAAGAAGAGATGGGAACGACCATTTGACTGAAACGGTGTAGGGTTTCCTGCCTGAGCAGGGGGTTGGACTAGATGACCTCCAAGGTCCCTTCCGGTTCTGTTATTCTGTTTTCTAAATGGCAGAGGATAGGCTGTTGCACTTGAGAGGCTGGAGGCCAAGTGTATGAATTGTAGTTTTTTTTGGGGGGGAGGGTGGAAGGGTACTGCACTTGTGAATGGCTGACATTCTGCCCCAAGATAGAATAGAATAGAATAGAGCTGGAAGGGACCTTAGAGGTCTTCTAGTCCAACCCCTGCTCAGGCAGGAAACCCTAAACGGCTGTCCAGTCTCTTCTTAAAAACTTCCAGTGTTGGAGCATTCACCGCTTCTAGAGGCAGGTTGTTCCACTGATTAATTCAGGGGGTCTTCAAACTTGGCCCTTTTATGACTGGTGGACTTCAACTCTGCCGGGCTGAGGAATTCTGGGAGTTGAAGTCCACCAGTCATAAAAGGGCCAAGTTTGAAGACCCATGTCTTAGATGAGCCCAGGGATCTTTGAACAGCTCCAAAGACCTGTGCTAGCAATCTTAAGAAGTGTGGACTTCAACTCCCAGAATTCCCCAGCCAACATGGGTGGCTGTGGTATTCTGGGAGTTGAAGTCCACATGTCTTAAAGCAACCAGGATGGAGAAACCTTGCTATAATTGAAAAAAAACAAACCCATGATGGCTGCAGGCAGAGCTTCAACTGCACCATGATGAGCGCCATTGTGACTTTTTTGACCCAACTTGGCCTTTCACACCGCTCTGGGTTTCTGTTCTAGGGTAAAAAGTACGTTTGGAATCGAATTGACCTCTTGCAAGCCGCCAGTGACCCGAAAGTTGACCGTCTTATGGGTAAAGGTTCAAAATGCTCATCCCCCCCCCGTGTGTGTTGAACACACCTGTCCACTGTGTGTGTTGCCCCCCCCCTTACTGGGTGCGAGTGGCTTCGGAAGGAAAGTTATTAAACTCAGTTTACAGATCCTGGAGAAGCTGGTTACAAAGAGAGGGTCCTTCTCAGGCTGCTCACAATTTCAGTTTGTGTGTTTGTGTGTGTGTGTGTTTTGGTGTGATGTTACACAGGAGGAAGAAAGGACTTCCCTGTCCAGCTCAAGAGAGAAAGTTTTAAACAGCAGCCTTCTGACATGCAGTTTAACACCCATCTCAAAATTGCAATTCAAAGCAGAGTTGCATTTGGGTTTGATTGATTGAAGAACAGGAGAAGGCCGTTAAAAAAATTCCTCCTTCTTTCTAGTTGGTTCCCCAAACTTAAATTGAATCATAAAACAAGCAAACGGCGTGGATTTGTGCTTTGGGTGGAACCCACCCTAAAGCTAACTCCAATATCGCCAAGTGAGCTTTTTGCATGTAGTGTGAAAGCAACCAGAATGTCTTTATCAGATCTTGCAACACGTGTGAGGTGATTACAGCTCTCTGAGTGGTTTGAACCTTGGACGTTCAACCTAGGCCAGGGGTAGGCAACCTTCGCTCTTTTATGACTTGTGGACTTCAACTCCCAGAATTCCTGAGCCAGCATGGGGGAACTATGGCCCCTTCGTGACTGATGGACTTCAACTCCCAGAATTCCTCAGCCGGCATGGGGGAACTATGGCTGCTTCATGACTCGTAGACTTCAATTCCCAGAATTCCTGAGCCAGCATGGGGGAACTATGGCCCCTTCATGACTCATGGACTTCAACTCCCAGAATTCCTCAGCCAGCATGGGGGAACTTTGGCCCCTTCATGACTCGTGGACTTCAACTCCCAGAATTCCTGAGCCAGCATGGGGGAATTATGGTCCCCTTTATGACTGGTGGACTTCAACTCCCAGAATTCCTGAGCCAGCATGGGGGAACTATGGCCCCTTCATGACTCATGGACTTCAACTCCCAGAATTCCTGAGCCAGCATGGGGGAACTATGGCCCCTTCATGACTCATGGACTTCAACTCCCAGAATTCCTGAGCCAGCATGGGGGAACTATGGCCGCTTCATGATTCGTGGACTTCAACTCCCAGAATTCCTCAGCCAGCGTGGGGGAACTATGGTGCCTTCATGACTCGTGGACTTCAACTCCCAGAATTCCTGAGTCAGCATGGCTCAGCTTGGAAACCTCTCCATTCCCCTCAGCATGGCTGGCTCAGGAATTCTGGGAGTTGAAGTCCACGAGTCACAAAAGAGCCAAGGTTGCCTACCCCCGGCCTAGGCCTTCACTCGTGGTGTGAAGGTCCATTCCATCTCTCTTGTTTTCCCCCAGGCCTCTTTGAACCTTCAGACATGAAATATGAGCTTTACCGAGACAACAGCACTGACCCATCGCTGGCCGAGATGACCGAAGTGGCTATCAAACTCCTCAGTTCCAATCCAAAAGGCTTCTATCTCTTTGTGGAAGATAAGTCTGGGGTCCCTACCAGGATGAGTGAGGCCTTCTTCTCAGGCTCTTCTCAGTGCCCCGACCTCCCCAAGCGATTGAAGGAGGAACCGATAGAGGAGAAGGGTTTTTTTTTCCGGGGGGAGGGTGATGGTGAATGAATAGCTTATCTTTACATAAGATGGGGTAACCAGGTCAGGGAAAGCGCTAAATAGTGTTTATCAATCTTGAAAATTATAATGGGTGGACTTCAACTCCCAGAATTCCCCAGCCAGCTAGGAGTGATGAGGAAGATGTGTGAACTTCAACTCCCAGAATTCCCCAGCCAGCTAGGAAAGTTGAGTGAACTTCTCCCAGAATTCCCCAGCCACCTAGGAATGATGAGGAAGAAGAGTGAACTTCAATTCCCAGAATTCCCCAGCTAGCTAGGAATGATGGGGAAGAGGAGTGAACTTCAACTCCCAGAATTCCCCAGCCAGCTAGGTGTTATGGTTCCAGCTAATGAAACACTTCAAAGAACTTCCAGGCATTTATTTTCCTAAAAGTCAGTGATTGTTACAAAATGTCGGCACATGCATAACGGAGGGATGCTAAGATCTGAGTTGTCTTCCTCTGAGCAGTTAAATTATCAGCATGTTCCCTCCCTAAATTAGCTGTCATATATCACATTATCCAATTAGAGTGAAGGTCAAAGGTTTCCTTCCTCTTTCTTTCCCAGGCTTTACCCCCAACCCCCCTTCTGCTCTGTATTAACCCCATAAATACCAGACAGTTCTGCATATTGTCAAAAGCAAGAATATGCAATATTTGCAGCGTTGACACTAGGAATGTTGAGTGAACCAACTCCCAGAATTCCCCAGCCAGTAGGAATGATGGGGAATTCTGGGAGTTGGTCCATCTATCTTAACGTTGCATCTGCTCTTTCTTTTGCACGAGGCAGAATAGACCACGGACACCACGATGGTGTTGCGAAGCGAGCCCTGACAGAAGCTATTGAGTTTGACAAAGCCATCGAACGAGCCGGGGAGTTGACGAGGGAAGACGACACGTTGACCGTTGTGACCGCTGACCACTCTCACGTCTTTAGCTTTGGAGGCTACACCCTCCGGGGAACCTCCATTTTTGGTATAGCAAATACCGTGGTGTGAGCTGGGTAGTTTTTGGAGAGAAGGATCTGAAGAGGTTGTTTGGCCCTCAGGGAGGTCATGAAACCCACAGTGGAGACCCTTACGAGGAATCTATGGGTCAGGAAAGATCAAGATAGGGGGAAATAAAACTATGAAAGATCTTGTAAAACAGAACTGGATAAGATCTCTAATAATCTGAGGTAATGTTTCTCCATTAAGACGTGTGGACTTCAACTCCCAGAATTCTACAGCCAGCCACGTTGGCTGGGGAATTCTGGGCGTTGAAGTCCACATAGCTTAAGGTTGCTAACACTGGTCTTTGGAGTGTGCTGTGGGTTGATCTAAGACAGGTGTCTTCATCAAACTTGGCCCTTTGATGACTTGTGGACTTCAACACCCAGAATTCCTCAGCCAGGCATGCGTGCCTGGCTGAGGAATTCTGGGCGTTGAAGTCCACAAGTCATCAAAGAGCCAAGTTTGAAAACCCCTGATCTAAGACATCTGGAAGGAGACGACATCACCAGATACCACCAGCTTCTTCCCAGTGTTGGCTTTTTGTAGCCACCTTGAAGAATTTTAGAGCATGGTTCAAGAAAAGGCAGACAATACACGCATTTTGGGGTGATCTTCCTCCAAGGTGGAAGTTAGCGGGCCCTTACTGTATCCAAAGTAGCCAGCAGGTTAATTCTCCATGATGGTCATTGTAGTCCTAGAGCAGTGGTTCTCAACCTTTTTAATGCCGCGACCCCCAACCGGTCATAAGTCGAGGATTACTCAACCGGTCGTCAGTCGAGGACTACTCAACCGGTGCAGCACCGTTTGCAGAATGGGACTTTTGGCAGGCTCAGCAGGGCAGAGACAGCCTGGACAATTCCTATTGGCTTTGGAAAGCCAATAGAATTAGACTCTATTCAAGAAAGTCTATTCTATTGGCTTTCAAAAGCCAATAGAATAAAAGGGAGTAGCACAGCTAAGGAAAAGGGGGGAAAAAATGGCGGACTGCGTTGTTTGGCGACCCCCGTGAAATGGTCGTTCGACCCCAAATGGGGTCCCGACCCACAGGTTGAAAACCGCTGTCCTAGAGGCTGACCGGTTGGAAGACATGGCTCAGAGGGTCTAAATAATTCTTCCTTCCAGGTTTGGCACCCGGAAAGGGGATAGATGGCAAGGCATACACCTCCATCGTTTATGGCAACGGGCCAGGCTACCAGATCACCGACAAAGGCCGTCCGGACGTGACCTTGGAAGAAAGTGGTAAGCCAGATACACCTAATTTCGATTTACGGCCACAATACAGCTTCAAGTTTCTGTTGCTAAGTGAGACGTTTGTCAAGTGAATTCCCTCCCCATTTTACGACCGTTCTGGCCACCGTTGTTAAGTGAATCACTGCAGTTATTAAGTTACTAACCCAGTTGTTAAGTGAATCTGGCTTCCCCATGACCGTTGCTTGTCAGAAGGTGGCAAAAGGGGATCACCTGAGCCCGGGACGCTGCCACCGTCGTAAATATGAGTCAGTTGCCAAAGGATTGAATTTTGATCACGTGACCGTGAGGTGTAAGTGTGAAAGAAACGGTTGTAAGTCACTTTTTTCGGGGCTGTTGTAACTTTGAATTGGGGGGGGGGGTTTAAAAGCTGCGATAGCTGGAAGCAGAGAGACCCCCCACACACACCCAGAATGCCCGGCTGGTGTAAGTATAATTCTGAACTGGCTCAAACTGTGTGCCTCATCACTCTTCAAGCCAGATGGCTCTCATGGCTGGGAGTGATGGGTGCCCAGAAGGCACTCTGTTGGGGAAGGCAGCAATATAAGGAAGAAGTAGCTGCAGACAATATTAAAAACTCTCTGGAGACCAGTGTCTCTTAACCTTAGCAACTTTAAAATGTCTGGACTTCCACTCCCATATTTCCTCAGCTGGCATGGAATTCTGGGAGTTGAAGTCCAAGCGTGTTAAAGTTGCCAAGGCTGAGAAATATTGGACTACGCAGCTGACAACATAACAATGCAGGTGCTGCTGCTTTTTCCTAGGATTCCTCCCCCCCCCCAGATTTTCAAATTTAGTTTACAGTCATGGGATCACTTTGTGGTCTTCCTTCCAGCATTACTCAGATCGGACCTTGCTTTGCTTCCAAAACGAGGACTGTCTAGATGCGGCCAGAGACGGAATTAAAACTGGAGGCGAAAAGCTCATCAGTTGTTGATTTAGCTAGGGGAGTTTGCAGGGTGAGGTCAAAAAAAGTCAACATGGCAGCCATGATCAAAAACTCTGCTTGCGGTTTACAGTTAGTCCTTGACTTACGACCGCAGGCCCAAAATTTCTGCTGCTAAGCGAGAGAGTTGTTAAGTGAGTTTTGGTCCATTTAAGTGAATCACTGCAGCTATTAAGTTAGTAACACGGTCGTTAAGCGAATCTGGCTTCCTCATTGACTTTGCTTGCCAGAAGATCGCAAAATGGGATCATGTGACCCCAGGACACTGCGACCGTCATAAATATGGATCAGTTGCCAAAGGTCTGAATTTTGATCACGTGACCATGGGATGCAGCGACGGTCGTTATGTGTGAAAAATGGTCCCAAGTCACCTTTTTCAGTGCTGTTGCAATTTCGGTCACTAAATGAACTGTTATAAGTCGAGGACTATCTGTATATGTCTGGTGATAGCACGTCTGTGGTCACTAACCCTCTTTCGAGCTAAGCGACAAAGACAGCCTGTGCTTCATTTGCAGGGGTTCGACTAAAGCACCCCAGAGAGGCAAGGATGCTGAATTCATGTCACTCTCTTCATTAGTGTCTCAAAAAGTTCCCTCCTACCCATCTAATTGCTGGTCTTCTCCCCTCCCCAGAGAACGACACCTACCACCAGCAGGCCGCCGTACCCCTCGCCTCAGAGACCCATGGAGGGGAGGATGTGGCCATCATGGCCAAAGGACCAATGGCCCACCTCTTCCACGGAGTGCAGGAACAATCCTACATTGCTCATGTCATGGCCTACGCCAGCGGCCTGGAGCCCTACAACTTACGCAACTATTACAGTCAGACATCCGCAGCTGCACCCAAGGCCAGCCTGGCGGGTCTCCTCCTGGTTCCCCTGTTCCTCTGGATCTGCTAGGCCTCCCCTGGGGCATTCTGGGTACCTCCATCTGAATTTAGAGTGTGATTCAAGACGAGGCAGATGTCAATGCTGCTAACATCAGATGTTCTTGCTTTGACAATAGATGGAAATGTAGCCATCTTTTCCCTTTCGCTTTTAGAGTTAGTTGATGCTGGGAGGGGGGATATGGATGAGAGTCGGAGCTGTGCTACTGCAAAAGAACCAGATTGAGACCCTACAGCCCTGCACCTACACCTCGAAAAAATTCACTGACTGCGAGAGGAGGTGGGCTGTGTGGGAAAAGGAAGCTTTCGCAATCCGCTGGGCTCTATTAAACTGGCGACACTATCTAGAAGGCAGTAAGGTGCCTTTCGAAGTATGGATTGATCACAAAAAAACTAGAAGCACTAACGACTCTTTGTCCCCAAAACAAGTACGGTAGGCATAGTACTTTAACCGTTTTAATTTCACCCTAAAGTACATAGCGGGAGGAAAAAACTTCTTAGCTGATGCTCGGTCCCAGGGGTAGGCAACCCTGGCTCGTTTATGACTCGTGGACTTCAACTCCCAGAATTCCTGAGCCAGCCATGCTGAGGGAAAAGGGAGAGGTTTCCAAGCTGAGCCATGCTGGCTCAGGAATTCTGGGAGTTGAAGTCCATGGGTCATGAAGGGGCCATAGCTCCCCCATGCTGGCTCAGGAATTCTGGGAGTTCAAGTCCACGAGTCATAAAAGAGCCGAGGTTGCCTATCCCTGCTCTATCCATACTGCCCCAGTACAAAAGCCAGCGTGAATACCTAGATGATCAATGAATGCCAGACGCTCCATTGCCCATGCACAAAAAAAACGGCTTTGGCCTTTTTTATTTTGATGTCATCCGCACCAGATAAAAATACAACGCGACATTTCTGTACAAAGGGCTGCTGTGGCTGACTGGCCAGGCAGCTCCAATCACTGGCCATGAGAGAGAGGGAGAGGGAGGGAGGGAGGGAGGGAGAGAGGGAGGGAGACAAGGAGAGAAAGAGAGAGGGAGGGAAAGGGGGAAAGAGAAAGAAGGGAAAGAGGAAAAGAGGGAGGGAGACAGAAAGGGGGGAAAGAGGAGGGAGGGAGGGAGGGGGGAAGAGAGGAAGAGAGGAAAAGAGGGAGGGAGAGAGAGAGGAGGGGGAGAGGGAGGGAGGGAGAGAGAGGAAAAGAGGGAGGGAGAGGGAGGCTAGGAGAGAAGGAGAGGGAGAGAGGGAGGACGAGAAAGGGGGAGAGAGGAGGGGGGAAGAGGAAAAGAGGGAGGGAGAGGGAGGGAGGGAGAGAAAAGGGGAAAAGAGGAGGGAGAGAGGGAGAGAGGGGGAAGAGAGGGGGAAGAGAGAGAGGGGGAAAAGAGGGAGGGAGAGGGAGGGAGGGAGAGAAAAGGGGAAAAGAGGAGGGAGAGAGGGGGAAGAGAGAGGGGGAAAAGAGGGAGGGAGAGGGAGGGAGGGAGAGAAAAGGGGAAAAGAGGAGGGAGAGAGGGGGAAGAGAGGGGGAAGAGAGAGAGGGGGAAAAGAGGGAGGGAGAGGGAGGGAGGGAGAGAAAAGGGGAAAAGAGGAGGGAGAGAGGGAGAGAGGGGGAAGAGAGGGGGAAGAGAGAGGGGGAAAGAGGGAGGGAGGGAGAGAAAAGGGGAAAAGAGGAGGGAGAGAGGGAGAGAGGGGGAAGAGAGGGGGAAGAGAGAGAGGGGGAAAAGAGGGAGGGAGAGAGAGGAGAGAGGAGGGAGAAAAAGAGAGGAAAAGAGAGAAAGGAGGGAGGGAGGGAGAGAGAGAGAATGTGGATTGTATGTGTGTGTGCACACAGGCGTGCAGCTGCCTGGCTGAGCATGAATTTGGCCTACCTTCTCCAACGCCTGCACCTAAGGGATGGGTAGGACTACATTTCCCACAGTTCCTGAGCGGTTATGACTTCTAGGACTTCTGATCCCAACCGTGAGGCTGGGGGAAAAAACCCAACATGGATTTCCCATCAAACTACATCGGAGCCCACGGCGTAGATTCCCACGATTTCATCTACCGTCTGGATCCATCTTAAGCTAAGCCCCCCTTATAAGCTTAAAAAAAAAGAAGCTTAACAAAAACCCCTGAAGAGAGAATTTTGCGCCTGGTGTGGCCCATGTTCCAGCTCTCTATGCATTTTGGTCTTCAGGCAATTCCAGTATCTGAGGGGCTGCCCCAAAGAAGAGGGGGGGGGGTCAGCCTATTCTCCAAAGCCCCTGAAGGCAGAACAAGAAGCAGTGGATGGAAACTAATCAAGGAGAGAAGCAACCTAGAACTAAGGAGGAATTTCCTAGCCGTGAGGACAATTAACCAGTGGAACAACCTGCCTCCAGAAGTTGTGGGTGCTCCAACACTGGAAGTTTTTAAGAAAAGATTTGACAAACATTTGTCTGGGATGATCTAGGGCAAGGGGTCTTCAAACCTGGCCCTTTTATAACTTGTGGACTTCAACGCCCAGAATTCCTCAGCCAGGCACGCTGTGCCTGGCTGAGGAATTCTGGGCGTTGAAGTCCACAAGTCATAAAAGAGCCAAGTTTGAAGACCCCTGATCTAAGGTCTCCTGCTTGAGCAGGGGGTTGGACTAGAAGACCTCCAAAGTCCCTTCCAACTCTGCTATTCTATTCTTCTGAATTGGGGGTCATGCCTTGGGACTCATCCCGGAGGCCTCTTTCAGAGTTAAGGGCCCCGAGCTGATCAGATAAGCTGGCATCAGGCCACGATCGTGATTAAGCAAACAAGCCACAGACTCCTCCAGTCCTTTCCCGAGTTTGTGTTTGTGTGGCTAAACCAGACCTTGTTTGAGCGATAGGACAATTTGTGCTTCTCTGCTCAACACACTCTCTCCCCAAGAGTCTCGGGCACAGAAAGAAGAAAGGGCCAGCTGGGGAGAAGCGGGAGGGGGGCTGGACCGAACCCCAATTCTAATCTGGGGTGCTGATTTGAGGGACACGGTGACCGTCAGCAGCTCATGGAAATTTTAGTTCTACAATCCACCTGAATAAAAGTCCGGTCCATCATCCTGACCCTCCAGGGAGGTAATTCAAGAGCGTGCAGGGAGAAAATCGAAAAATAATATTTTTTTGTTAAAAAAAAAAAAAGGCTTACAGCAAATTATAATTAATTACAAAATGCCGTCGCGTTGGTCCAGCTGAATTTAAATCAAATCAAATCAAATCAGAACACCGAAGGGATAGTATTGAACCCAGCGAAAAGGTTAGACGAGGCATCACGTGTAGGTAGCCCTCAACTTACGGCCACGGAAATTCCGTTGCTAAGCAAGGCAGTTATTAAGTTTACGACCTTTCTTGCCACGGGTGTTCAGCGGATGGCCGCCGTCGTTCAGCGAATCGTCTCATCGTTAAAGTGAATCCAGATTTTGCCCCCATTAACTTTGCGTGTTGGAAGCTGGCTGGGAAGGTCGCAAATGGTGATCACGTGATCCCGCGACACTGCGACCGTCATAAACATGAGCCCGTTGCTGAGCCTCTGAATTTTGATCCCGTGACTACGGGGACGCCGTGTTCAGTTGTGAGTCCTGGTTATAACTCATGTTTGTTGGTGCCTTGGCTAAATGAACGGTTGTACGTTGAAGACTACTCGTAGCTTTGGAACTTGAGCGGCGTTAGCACAATAAACTAGAATAGCAAAACACACACAGTCCCAAAATAATAATAATAATAATAATAATAATAATAATAATAATAATAATAATAATAATAATAATAATATTGGGTCTGGAGGCAGAGCAGAAAAGCTTTGGCAGGGTCCAAAACGAACAGCAGCAAAATGTCCCTTCGGAAGCCGTTCCTTTTGTGTCTTGAGCGATTGTACAGATGGAAAGAGATCACAGGAGGTATGTTAGACTTGTGTTAGCTATTTTTTACTCTGGTGCCCCAAAGATTTTTGGGGTGCAGAGGGGGGGGGCTGTTGGCAGGCGTGGCCTATCCCCGGAGGCCAGACCGCTCTAGGAATTTTAGGAGGATTTCTCGCCTCTCCTGCTGCCTGGCCAGTGGCATGGATCAGGACGATGGCGGCCGGTGTGTTGATAGAGGCTGGGTGCAGGCAGGGACGGGGCAGATGGGCGCTTCACCAGACGGAGCACTTGTGTGTAGGGTTCATGGGGGAGTCCTTGGGACAGTGGAAGACCCGTCCAAACTCCTCAAACTGGGAGACGCTGCCCAGCACCCTGCAAAGGGGAGAGAAGAGAGGAGGAAAGGCGAGGATTGGGGAGATCAACCAGCATAGTGGGAAGAAAGAGGGAAAGGCATTAGGCTAGAAACCAGGAGACGGTGAGTTCTAGTCCTGCCTTAGGCACGAAAGCCAGCTGGGTGACTTTGGGCAAATCACCAGGAGATTGGGAGTTCTAGTCCTGCCTTAGACACGAAAGCCAGCTGGGAGACTTTGGGCGAGTCACCAGGAGATTGGGAGTTCTAGTCCTGCCCTAGACATGAAAGCCAGCTGGGTGACTTTGAGCCAGTCACTGTCTCTCAACCTAACCCAGGGTTGTCGTTACAGGGAAATAGAAGGAGGAAGGACTATTAGGCACGTTCCCCAGCCTCATATGTATAAAACTAGCATTCGGATAAAAAAAGCAAAATAAAACAACACACTACCAAAAAAAACAGAAGAACAAAACAACACAATACACCCATACAGTAACGTAAAACATAAAACAATAAAATAAACAAAGCAAAACAATAAAACTACTCATCAAAAAAAAAAAAAAACAACGTATTTTTGGCTTCCTCCCAAATGCTAAACCAGCTTCCTTTGTCAGCTTCCAACAGCTTCCCACGGTCTGGACTTCAACTCCCAGAATTCCCTATTAGTGGGGAAAGCAGGTCCTCGGTGTATCCTGCCTCTCTCCCATCTCTGACCCCAATCGGGGTCCCCCGGATGCCCTGGCTGGTACCTGTAATGCTCGGGCGCGTGTTTGTCGGTCAGCACCTGGAGATAGATGGACTGGGAGCGCCGTTTAATACACCAGTTCTGCAGGGAGGAAGGGAGACAGCATGACGTCGCGCTCGGATCCGTGGCTCGTGTCCCAGAGCATCTTACAAAAAGGCTATGAAAAGGCAGACACCCACATCCCCGACCTTAAACCACAGGTAGTAATCGACTTACCGCCCTACATTTAGCGACCGTTCGAAGTCCCGACGGCAGTGACAACAGCGACTTGGGACTTAAAGCATTTTTCACACTTGCGACCGTCGCAGCCTCCCCGTAGTCACGTGATCAACATGGAGGCGCTTGGCCACTGGCTCCTATTTATGACGGTTGCAGTGTCCCCGTGTGTGTGTGAGTGTGTGTGTGTGTGTGTGTGAGTGTGCATCACGTGATCCCCTTTTGCAACCTTCCGACAAGCCGTGGGGAAGCGGGATTCATTTAACAACCGCTTTATCGACTTAACCCCTGCAGCGATTCCCTTAACAACGGAGGCCAGGAAGGTTGTAAAATGGGGCTTAATAAAACTTACCCAGCAATGGGCACAATTGTGGTTGTAAGTCAAGGACTACTATACGTCTAAACTTAAGCCTAAATTTAAGTCTAAAGCTGAGCCAAGACTAACTTTAAACTTAATCCTGGTTTTATGCTGAAACCTAATACTAAACTAAGTTTAAACCTGAACTAAGCCTAGGCCTAAACCTCGCCTCAAGTATTAAGGCTAATTAAGTATTTTACTTTGCATTTTGCCCACGTAGGAGGTTTTTATCTGAATAAAATAGTATTTCAGAATCGGAATCAGAATAGAGTGGGAAGGGACCTTAGAGGTCATCTAGTCCAGCCCCCTGCTCAAGCAGGAAACCCTATACCATTTCAGACAAATGGCTGTCCAGTCTCTTCTTAAAAACCTCCAGTGATGGAGCGCCCATGATTTCTGGTGGCAAGCTGTTCCACTGGTTAATTGTCCTCTCTGTTAGGAAGTTTCTCCTTAATTCCAGGTTGCTTCTCTCCTTGATTAATTTCCATCCATTTTTCTTGTCCTGCCCTCTGGTGCTTTGGAAAATAAGTGGACTCCCTCCTGGAAGTGGAAATTTCCTATTTCCAGTCTATTAATCCTCAGTGCTTTACATGCCCTAGTAGTGGATGCAGAAGTTTTGGAAAATCAGCTACGAACGCAAAAGACCTCAACACCAATTTTTCTATTCCAATGTTGGCACCTTTAACAGTTCAACTCCCAGAATTCCAGCGCCAGCATCTTAAACTCTAAAGTAATCTGGGATAAAATGAAAGGTAATTCTTGATTTACAACAGGGGTCTTCAAACTTGGCCTATTTACGACTCGTGGACTTCAACTCCCAGAATACCTCAGCCAGGCACGCTGGCTGAGGCATTCTGGGAGTTGAAGTCCACAAGTCATGAAAGGACCATAGTTCCCCCATGCTGGCTGAGGAATTCTTGGAGTTTTGAAGTCCGCAAGTCATGAAGGAGTCATAGTTCCCCCATGCTGGCTGAGGAATTCTGGGAGTTGAAGTCCGCAAGTCATGAAGGGACCATGGTTCCCCCATGCTGGCTGAGGAATTCTGGGAGTTGAAGTCCGCAAGTCATGAAGGGGCCATGGTTCCCCCATGCTGGCTCAGGAATTCTGGGAGTTGACGTCCACGTGTCGTAAAAAGTTCCAAGTTTGAAGACCCCTCATTTACAACCATATCCATGACACAATCCATTGCTAAGCAAGGGCATTGTTAAGAAAGCCGCACCCTTTTTTGCCACATTTGTTAAGCGAATCACCTGGTCATTAAGCAAATCGGTCTTCACTAGTGAATTTTGCTTGTCTGAAGCCAGTTGGGAAAACGGCCCTCAGCTGACTCTGGGATGCTGCAGCCGTCATAAATATAGGCCGGCCGAGTTTGGATCACGTGACCCGGGGAGGAATGCTTCAACTGTTGTGTGAGGACTGATCACGACTCCCTTTTCTGGAGGGCCGTCCTAACTATGAACAGTCACTAAAGGAATGGTCGTAAGCTGAGGACTATCCATAACCACCCCACCCCATCCACCCGGGTCCTGTTCTGCTCACCAAGGCCCGCTCCTTGCAGAGAGACCGTACCTGAGCAAAGGCGATGAAGAACAGCTGCTCGTGCGTGTATTTCAGCCACAGCAGCGGGTTTTCCGGGCCGTGTTCCCGCACCCATTTCTGATATGCCTGTGAGAGAAAATTGCACCCGGCAAGTTGGACACGGTCCGTTTCAGGGTGGGAGGAAAGCCGCGGCGCCCGTAGGCTGGGCTGGGGTGCGCGTTACAATCTTGTTGCGTGGCAGGACTTTGACTGCGATGCCGAGCCTGCCACTTTGTGCACTTTTGGCCCTCGCCCTCTGCAAACACCCCTAGAAGACCTGCTAGACAGAGCGCAGCTGAAGGCAGATTTAGAACATGGAATAATAGGGCAGGAAGGGATCTTCGAGGTCTTCTAGTCTAACCCCCCAATATGTCCTGATTACATATTGCTTGGAACAGGGCTTGTGTAAGATGATGATCAGGGTGTTTAAAAAGCTTTAAAAGTTGATCCATTGGGTAAGCTGAGATAGGAAGCACACACATCAGATGATAGATAGATAGACAGATAGACAGATAGACAGACAGACAGATATAGATGGATGGATGGATAGATAGATAGATAGTTTAGATAGATAGATAGATAGATAGATAGATGGATGGATGGATGGATGGATGGATGGATAGAATGTTTAGATAGATAGATAGATAGATAGATAGATAGATAGATAGATAGATAGATAGATAGATAGATAGATAGATAGAATGTTTAGATAGATAGATAGATAGATAGATAGATAGATAGATAGATAGATAGATAGATAGATAGATAGATAGATAGATAGATAGATTACGCTTTTCATTATCGGTTATGTGTTTTCCTTTAAATTCTGTTTTTATTTTAATTGTTAGCCGCCCAGTCTTATATATGAGATGGGTGGTCATATCAAGGTATTAAATAAACAAACAAACAAACAAACTAACTCACGTAATAAGCAAGTTTAAGTCCCCCCATGTCTGCAATGTTTTCTCCCAGTGTGTGTTTCCCGTTCACCTGCAGAAAAAAGAGAAGAGAAATTTTTTTTAAAAGTCCCATTTTTACATGCTGGGAAACGCTTAAGTCGGTTAGTTTCTAGATTTCCCCCTAATACGCCATACTAATACAGCTAATCCTTGACCATTTGTGACCGTTCAAAGTCAAATCCAGGTGGGTTTTCCCCCCCAAGATTCAAGGCAAACTCCCAAGGCAAAACATCCAAAGCTTCGAACATTAGATTAAATGATGATCAAAGTACAAAGTCGGCTTCAAACAGTTTGTTTAGTGGCTGTTCTCAGTTACAAGGGCACTGAAAAAAGTGACTTATGACCGTTTTTCACATATTTAAACTAATAATAATAATAATAATAATAATAATAATAATAATAAAGTAGGAAGGGACCTTGGAGGTCATCTAGTCCAACCCCCTGCTCAGGCAGGAAACCCTATACCGTTTCGGACATGGCGGTTGCAGCCTCTCCGAGGGTCACGTGATCTAAATTTGGAGGCTTAGCGAGTCATATTTACGACGGTTGCAATGTCCTGGGGGGAGGGTGTCACGTGATTCCCTGTTTATGAGCTTCCAGCAAGTGAAGTCAATCTGGGGAAGCCAGGATCGATTCACAACCGTGTTGCTCCCTTCACAACTGCAGCCATTGGCATAGCGACTACGACGAGAACGGTCGTAAAACAGGGCAAATTTCACTTAAGAGCTTCTCTCTCTTAGCTGTGGAAATTTTGAGCTTTGTTGCGGCCATAAGGTGAGGACTGCCTGTATTTTGAGACTGCCAATTTGGGGGGGGGGAGAGGGAGGGAAGACCCCCTTCCCCGGGGGTGTGTGTGTGAAACAGGCCCTCGTGCCTCCCGGCTCACCCTCTGGTTGTAGACGGTGAAATTGTCGTAGAGGTTCACAATGCACTCGGCCTTCTTGCGGAACTTGCTGTAGGAGGCGTCTGTCCACCAGTGCACCAGGTTGCCATACCGGTCGTACTGCCCGCCTGCAGAGCAAAGGCTGGGGGTGAAATGAGGGGGTTTTTGTTCCCCAAAACAGCTTCTGCCTTTGAATAAACTCTGGTTTTTGGCAAAAGGGGCGACCAGATTTCGGGTTATTGTATAACATGGTTTTCCTCCTACATCTATCTATCTATCTATCTATCTATCTATCTATCTATCTATCTATCTATCTTTCTTTCTTTCTTCCTTCCTTCCTTCCTTCCTTCCTTCCTTCCTTCCTTCCTTCCTTCCTTCCTTCTTTTTCTTCTTCTTTCCTTCCTTTTCCTCCCTTCGTTCTGTTTATTCCTTTTTCTTCCTTCTTCCTTCCTTATCCTTTGTTTTTTCCTTCCTTTCTTCTGTTCATTCCTTTCCCTCCCTCCCTTCCTTCCATTATCTTTCTTCCTTTGTTCTGTTCATTCCTTTTCCTTCCTTCCTTCCTTCCTTCCTTCCTTCCTTCCTTCCTTCCTTCCTTCCTTCTTCCTTGCTACCTTCCTTATCCTGTTTCTTCCTTCCTTCCTTTCATTCCTTTCCCTCCTTCCACGCTTCTATTATCTTCCTTCCTTCCTTCTTTCTTCTTCTTTCCTTCCTTTTCCTTCCTTCCTTCCTTCAGTCTGTTTATTCCTTTTTCTTCCTTCTTCCTTCCTCCTTCCTTCCTTATCCTTTGTTTTTTCCTTCCTTTCTTCTGTTCATTCCTTTCCCTCCCTTCCTTCCATTATCTTCCTTCCTTCCTTTGTTCTGTTCATTCCTGAACTGTGCTCTGACCCAATCCGGGTCCGTGGCCACTCACTGCAACCAGGTGGGCGTGACTGGGTGGGCACGTCAGTTGCCCGGGGTGACTTGTTCTGCACCCACCTGGCCATGATCACCTGGCACCCCCCCACCTGGCCACACCCACCTGGTTGTATCCACCTGGCTACACCCACCCAGCCACCCAAGTCAACCACACCGAGCCTGCTGCACCGCCCACCTGGCGGCATTCAGATGGCCACGCCCACCCAGTCATGCCCACCTGGCTGCAAGGAGTCGTCCCCTTCCCTCCCAAACCTTCTTCCTGGGATCCAAAACTGTGACGGAGGTGAGAAATAAGGAGAAAAGCCTACCCCAGTCATCGTAGCCGTGGGTCAGCTCATGCCCGATAATTGTTCCAATCCCTCCATAATTCAAAGACCTGTAGGAGGGTGAGACAAACACAGTGAGCTGCTGATGGGCTGAAGGGGAATACGGCATCCAGTTTTGGTCACCAAGATGTAAAAAAGATGCTGAGACTCTGGAAAGAGTGCAGAGAAGAGCAACAAAGAGGATCAGGGGACTGGAGGCTAAAACACATAAGGAACGGTGGCTGGAATTGGGGATGTCCAGTTTAACGAAGAGAAGGATGAGGGGGGACATGATAGCAGTCTTCCAGTATCTCAGGGGCTGCCCCAAAGAAGAGGGAGTCAAGCTCTTCTCCAAAGCCCCTGAAGGCAGGAGAAGAAGCAACGGATGGAAACTCATCAAGGAGAGAAGCAACCTGGAACTAAGGAGGAATTTCCTGATGGTGGGAACAATTAATCAGTGGAACTGCTTGCCTCCAGATGTTGTGGGTGTTCCAACCTTGGAACAGATGTTGGACAGCCCCTTGCCTGAAATGGTATATAGGGTTTCCTGCTTGAGCAGGGGGTTGGACTAGATGACCTCCAAGGTCTCTTCCAACTCTGTAATTTTGTGTTTCTGAGGGCAATCAACGGGCCTTGTTCAGTCGCTAAGTCGTGTCCTTCGCATCCCATGGGCTACAGCACACCAGCCACTCCTGTCCTTCACTGTTTCTCTGACTTTGCCCAAAATAATAATAATAATAATATTATCTTGGCTATATATCGCTGCTCAACACTGTCCGTATATATAGCCAAGATATTGTAATGGAGTTTGGCTTGGACAAATGTGCCACACTTACTATCAAACAAGGAAAAATAGTGAAAACTGAAGGAATCAAGATGCCCCACGAAAATAACATTAAGAGTCTGGATGAGGAAGAGTACTACAAATACTTGGGTATCCTTCAAGCTGACAATATCAAGCACACTGAAGTCAAGAAAAAGATTAGAGGTGAATACATCAAGAGAGTGAAGAAGATCTTAAAGTCCAAACGCAATGGAGGAAATACCATAAAGGCAATCAACACCTGGGCAATCCCAGTCATTAGGTACACAGCTGGAATAGTGGACTGGACTCAAACAGAACTAAAAGCAATGGATAGGAAGACCAGAAAAATAATGACAATGAATCATGCCCTTCATCCACGCAGTGACATTGATAGACTTTATCTACCAAGGCAAATAGGTGGGCGTGGAATGCTACAAGTACATCAGATGGTTGAAGAAGAAAAAATGGCTTTGGAAGAATATCTGAAGAACAATGATGAAGATGCACTGAAATTAGTATATCAGGAAGGCTTACTAACTACTGGAGAGACCAAACTGGCCTACAAGAAAGACCAAATGAAGAACAGAATAGAGGCATGGGAAGACAAAGCACTACATAGCCAATACATGAAAAAAATAGCTGGGAAAGCAGATAATAACAAGACCTGGCAATGGCTAAGAGCAGGAAAATTGAAGAAAGAGACCGAGGGACTAATTCTGGCTGCACAAGACCAAGCCTTAAGGACAAATGCATACAAAGTCAAAATTGAGAAGACAGCAACAGACAGTAAGTGCCGCCTATGCAAAGAAGCTGAAGAAACAGTGGACCACTTGGTAAGCTGTTGCAAGAAGATTGCACAGACTGACTACAAGCAGCGGCATGACAAAGTAGCAACAATGGTGCATTGGAAGATCTGCAAAAAATATCATTTGCCTGTAAGCAAAAACTGGTGGGATCATAAAATAGAGAAAGTCATAGAAAATGATAAAATTAAACTGCTCTGGGACTTCAGAATTCAAACAGACAAGCACCTGCAACATAACACCCCAGACTTAACAATTGTCGATAAGAAAGACAAAAAAGTCTGGATAGTGGATGTGGCAGTGCCTGGAGATAGCAGAATAGAAGAGAAAGAACTGGAGAAGATAACAAAATACAAAGACCTACAAATAGAAATAGAAAGACTGTGGCAAAAGCAAGCAAGGGTAGTACCAATAGTAATAGGCTCCTTTGGGTGCAATCCCAAAACAACTGGAGCACCACTTGAACACCATTGGCATTGACAAATTCGCTATTAGTCAATTGCAAAAGGCGGCCTTATTAGGAACTGCTTCCATCCTGCGACGATATCTGTAATACCATCAAACATCCACATCTGCCTATCCCAGGTCCTGGGTAAGGACTCGATAGGTAGACAAAATGCCAAATCTAGTCTGAACATCTGGCTGACTGTGCGATGATCAATAATAATAATGATGTTGGAAGGGATCTTGGAGGTCATCTAATCCAGCCCCCCTGCTCAGGCAGGAAATGCTATACCATTTCAGAGAAATGGCTGTCCAATCTCTTCTTAAAAACTTTGTTGGAGCATTCACCGCTTCTGGAGGCAGGTGGTTCTACTGGTTAATTGTTCTCACTGTCAGGAAGTTTCTCCTCAGTTCTTGGTTGCTTCTCTCCTTTATTACTTTCCATCCGTTGCTTCTTGTCCTGCCCTCAGGCGCCTTGGAGAATAGCTTGACTCCCTCTTCTTTGTGTGAGTCTACTAAATAAAATCCACTCAATAAAATCTACTCAATATAATCTAGCTAAATGATCTCTACTACTTCCTCTGGTTCTCTGTTCTCCTTTTTGTTTCCTGGGTGGGAAAATAACACTTACTGTGGGAATTCAGGATCGTAGAGTGTCGGTTGCAGAATTCCAGCTGGGAACACTGGGGACACAAAGCACAGGTGAGTGGAGACAGGCTCTAAAGCAAGGGTCCCCAACCCCCGATCTGTGGACCAGTACCGGGCCACGGCACGCCAGCAACCGGTTCGCACAAACAAGCAAAGCCCCATCCGCAGGATGCAGGCAGCACACAAAACCACACACCCTCCGGTCTGTGGAAAAACCTCTCTCCACGGAACCGGTCCCTGGTGATGCAGCCAAGCTCTGTATGGGTAGTCCTCGACTTACGATCACAATGGATCCCCTAATTTCCATTGCTAAGCAAGGCAGTTGTTAGTGAGTTTTGTCTCACTTTACGACCTTTCCTGCCACCGTTCTTAAGTGAATCACTGCTGTTTTTAAGCTAGGAAGACGGTTGTTCAGCCGGCCTGGCTTCCCCCCCCCCCCATTGACTTGGCTGGTCAGAAGGTCACATAAAGGGGAATCATGTGGCCACAAATACGAGTCAGTTGCGGAGCACCACCTGAATTTCGATCGCGTGACCACGGGGAGGCTGCGACGGTCGTAAGCGTGACAAACGGTCGTAAATCCCTTTTCAGTGCCACTATAACTTCCGACCGTTGCTAAACGGTTGACACACAACCGTTCATTTAGTGATTGTTTGAAGTGACATGGGCAGCAGAAAAAGCGACTTTATGACCACTTTTCACACTTGCGACCATTGCAGCCTTCCCACGGTCACGGGATCGAAATTCAGGCGCTTGGCAACTGACTCGTACTTATGACCGTTGCAGTATCCTGGCAGTTCCTTTGGCCATCTTCTGAAAGCAAAGGGAATGGTAGGCCCGAGTCACAGTGTGACTAACTTAACAACTGCAGTGATTCACTTAACAACGGTGGCAAGAATGGTCGTCAAAGGGGGCAAAACTCACTTAACAACGGTACCTTGCCTAGCAATGGAAATTTGAGGCTCAGTTGGGGCTGTGAGTTGAGGACTATCTGTATAACTGTCAGGTCGACCATGCTGGTGTCCTGCCATGCTGTTGGGGGGGGGGGGAAGGAAGGTGTCCTTTGTGTGCTTCCACTTTTGCAGTAACTACTTGGGAATTTGAAGAAGAAGCAGAGCCATTCCAGCCTGGCTCCAAGGCCCTCGTGCCCTGAGAATGACCCGTTATCTACCCAGCACCTCAGCATTCTCAAAACAACCTGCGGAATCACATTGGCTGCTGGTGGGCTGGTTAGGGCAGGGGTCCACAATCCACAGGCTGTGGACCGGTGCCGGGCTGCAACACACTGGAAACCAGGCCACGCAAACAAGCAAAGCTCCATCGGCGGGATACAGGCCGCATGCAAAACCAGACACCCCCCCCCCTCTGGTTTGTGGAAAAACCTCTCTCCTAGGAACCTGTCAGGTCCCCAAATCCTTATTGTTTTCCTGCATATGTGCTCTCGTTTGGGGCCTGCCATTTTGCTGGGGGGGGGGGAAAACGGGGAAATGGGCTTTCACTTGGAATAACTTCCGGTTTCTATTTTTCCCCTCCCACCTCTGTCCGCTTGAGAAAAGACCGTGTCTCCCTTATCAGGGAGACGGTTACGGAGAAACGAAACTGGAGAAGACTTTGCGATGCGCGCCAACTTGTGCCAGTGATCCAAACACCGTTGCCACCTGTGGGTTGGCTGGGTTTCAAAATGGACCTTATGACTTTGGTGGGAGGAGGAAGATGGCTAGTTGAACTAGGACCAGGAGTAGGCAACCTGGGCTCTTTTATGATAGGTGGACTTCAACTCCCAGAATTCCTGAGCCAGCATGGCTCAGCTTGGAAACATTTCCCTTTCCCCTCAGCATGGCTGGCTCAGGAATTCTGGGAGTTGAAGTCCACCAGTCATAAAGCGGCCTAGGCCTAGGGCAGAGGTAGGCAACGTTGGCTCTTTTATGACTCGTGGACTTCAACTCCCAGAATTCCTGAGCCAGCCAACCAGTCATAAAAGAGCCAAGGTGGCCTACCCCTGTTCTAGACTCTTGCTCAGCCTGAACTGTGCTTCTCTGGGACTCACGTTTTCCCCTGTAAATGACCTGAATTCATAGAATCCTAGCCTGGAAGGGACCTTGGAGGTCTTCTAGTCCAGCCCCCTGCTCAAGCAGGAGAGCCTATACCAGGGGTAGGCAACCTTGGCTCTTTTATGACTCGTGGACTTCAACTCCCAGAATTCCTGAGCCAGCCACACTGAGGGGAAAGGGAGAGGTTTCCAAGCTGAGCCATGCTGCCTCAGGAATTCTGGGAGTTGAAGTCCACGAGTCATAAAAGAGCCAAGGTTGCCTACCCCTGGACTATACCGTTTCGGCGGGATTTCCCCCAGATCTTGCCTTGACTTCCCTACTGTCACCTACCCTTAATAAAAGTTCCTTTTGAGACAATGCCTGTTTTCAAGAGTTCTGCTTTCTTGGCTGGTTAGCTGAGGTGGGTCCTTACAGAACCAGTCCCTGGTGTCCAAAAGGTTGGGGAGGGGCTGCTGGATTAGGGGGGGCCTGGGTGTGGGGAAAAGGAAAGAATTGCATCCGCTTTCTCTCTGTAAAAGTTCTTTCGGTTAACCTGACCGGAATCAAGAGGGACCAGCTGGGGCAGGTCCTCACAAGAGCGTACACATAAAACGGACAAGCCATACTTCACCGTACCCAGTTGATTCTTGTTAGGAAGATAATAAGCATTCAGGGCTTGCGGCGGTAACAGCCATCTGTGGATAGAAAACATGGTGGTCAGCAACGGGAGCACCGGCAGAAGGCCGGGACTTGAAACCGGTGGCTTGGAGGGGACAGTCACAACGGGCGGGGTTGACACTGCCTGCGGTCATTGCAGGGGTTAACGCCGCCGGGGTCCTGCAGATAAGTCAGGACGAACCTGACTAACTTAACAACCACTGTGGTCAGACAGGTCGTAAAATGGGGCAAAACTCCCTTAGCCGATGTCTCGCTTAGGAACGGAAATGTTGGGCTCAGCTGTGGTCGTAAGGCGAGGACTGTATAAGTCTAAGTGCTGTTGCCCCTCCTCCCCGAATGGGCTCCACCCCGGTCAGCGTATCCCCCATTTCCTGAAGGTTCTTCAGTGAGACATAGGTAGTCCTCGACTTACGATGGATGGTTTAGCGACCATTCAGAGTTACGACAGACCCTCCAAAGGGGAATTACGACCCATTTCTGATGTTCTGACGGCTGCCCCTCCCCACACCCGTTGTGGGTGCTGCATTGTGGGTGCATTAGCTTCCAGTCTTTGGCAAACATGCCCCTAGTGCAGTGGTTCTCAACCTGTAGGTCGGGACCCCATTTGGGGTCAAACGACCATTTCACGGGAGTCGCCAAACAATGCAGTCCGCCATTTTTTCCCCCTTTTCCTTAGCTGTGCTACTCCCTTTTATTCTATTGGCTTTTGAAAGCCAGTAGAATAGACTCTCTTGAATAGAGTCTAATTCTATTGGCTTTCAAAAGCCAATGGGAATTGTCCAGGCTGTCTCTGCCCTGCTGAGCCCGCCAAAAGTCCTATTCTGCAAACGGTGCTGCACCAGTTGAGTAGTCCTCGACTTACGACCGGTTGAGTAGTCCTCGACTTACGACCGGTTGGGGGTCGCGGCATTAAAAAGGTTGAGAACCACTGCCCTAATGAATGATGGGTCCGCTTAACAACCACCGTGTTTGCTTTATGACCGTGAGGTTCATTTTATGACCACCACAAAAAAGGGGGTAAGATCAGATCCAGTCCTGTGACGGCCCCTTTTATGACCACCGTGACTTACGACGCTAATGGGCAGGCTCCGTTATACAGTCATAAGCCGAGGACTACCTGTACGACCGTGGCATCCGCTTAAGGACTAGCCCCCCCAAAGTTTGTAAAATCAGATCCAGTCATGCCATGGCCCGTTTTTACGACTGCCGGGACTTACGACCATAATCGGCATGCTTCCTTAAAGTCAGAAATCGAGGACTGCCTGTAGAGAATATTATTCAGGCCACAGACTAGCTTTCAAAGTAGTAATGGCTCTAGCCGTTGAGGGGTTTTATGAGTGTTCGGCTGCTGTGCGCCTCAGGGCAGGCCAGGCTGAATGACAGGATGGAGGAAGAGCAGACTGGCAGCGGGGGATATTTATAGCTCAGGGTTGATATGAGGGGTCCTGGATGCTCTCTGAGCTTGGCGGTTTTCTTGCCGAAGACGTTTCAGTGCCCAGCTTGGGACAATCATCAGTGCTAGAAAGGAGTGGGGTTTGTGGAGGGAGGAGGAGGACTGTGGGGTCCTTGGTGCTCTCTGAGCTTGGTCGTTTTCCTGCAGACGTTTTATTACCCAACTAGGTAACATCATCAGTGCTAGTAGGGAGTGGGATTGGAGGAGGAGGAGGAGGAGAAGAAGAAGGAGGAGCAACAGCAGCAGCAGCAGCACTGTGGGGTCCTTGGTGCTTTCTGAGCTTGGGCGTTTTCCTGCAGACGCTTTATTACCCAACTAGATAACATCATCAGTGCTAGTAGGGAGTGGGATTGGAGGAGGAGGAGGAGGAGGAAGAGCAGCAGCAGCAGCAGCAGCACTGTGAGGTCCTTGGTGCTCTTTGAGCTTGGTCGTTTTCCTGCAGACGTTTCATTACCCAACTAGCTAACATCACCAGTGCTGGTAGGGAGTGGGGTTTGCTCTCATGTTACCTCCTAGTGGCTTGCCCTCTCTGCGTAGGTGGGAGTGACCCAAGGAGCCGCCTAAATAAAATTCCCTTTGTGTAGGTAAGGAAATGTCTGCAAGAAAACCACCAAGCTCAGGATGTCGGTGGAAATTCTCCATCGTCCAGATCATGGCTGTCCCAAAGTTCAATTAGGAACCGAAAAAAGCTTCTTGGATGAGAAGCTCAACGTTTTTCAAAGAGAGAAAAAAATAAAGAGCCGAGGTGGCACAGCAGTTAGAGTGCAGTACTGCAGGCCACTTTAGCTGACTGTGTTCAGCAGGTCAGCGGTTCAAATCTCACCGGCTCAAGGTTGACTCAGCCTTCCATCCTTCCGGGGTAGGTAAAATGAGGACCCAGATTGTTGGGGGCAATGTAAATATATATATATACATTGCTTACTGGTGTACGCCGCTTAGAGAGTGCTTGCACTTAAAGCGGTATATAAGTCAAATAAATAAAATAAATAAATAAACACCAAGAAAGTCCAGTTGCCTTTTGGGAAAAGCACCACCACACTGAGGATCTCTCGTCAACTCTGACGCTGAAAGGTCCCAATTTGGATCCTTCTGCAGCACCGTGGAGGCGTCTGGAGAAAGTCCACCTCTTTAGGGGGCCCTCAAACCCGCCCTGGAGGAGGAAACGAGCGCCCTCCCACCCCCCCTCTCCGCACCCCACCATCCACCCGTGAGCTTCTACAAAAAGGAAGCGCCACCTACGCGGACTTGTCCACTTCCTGACGGATCTTCTTCACCGACAGCTTGATGTTGAACTTGATGCTGTTCAGGATGTTCTTGAAGTAGGTCTTCTCGTGGACTTCAAACTGCAGAAGACACACAAACCTCTCAGGCTGAAGGAAGAACCCGAGGGTCAGGACCCGCTTTGCGTGCAGATGGAACAGACCTAGCAAGGCTTGACTACTGCAGAGTAGTCTTCTTAGGGCTCGCCCTGAAAACTATTCAGGAGATGTACGGTAAGGGGTGTAAAGCATAGCAACTACGCTGCTCACCAGTGCAAGCTTCAGGGATCACTTAAGATTGTCTGGAAATATCTACACGTATTACCAATTGCTTACTAGATACAACTTAAAATGTCCTTATGAAACTTTAAAGACCTACATGCTTTATTCCAGGGCTTTACAACCTTTTCACCCATTGTACCACTTTTAGGATATGGCAACATCCACCAGTCGCCTAGCAAGGGGTCAAAAATTTGATCAAAAAAAAAAAAGGAAAAAAGTGATAAAGTACAGGTAATCCTCAACATACAACAGTTTGCTTAGTGGCTGTTTGACGTTACAATGGCACTGAAAAAAGTGCCCCCCAAGCCACAGCTGAGCAAGACACCTGCCTGCTTACCCAGCCGTGTTCTTCCTCCTGTCCAAGGTTTTCGTTGTTGTGAGCATTTTTGTTGAGGATTGGCAGCAGGGGTGGGGTGGGGGGGTGTTTGGTTTTTATTCCCCCCCCCCATCTGCTGGGTGGTTGCAGCAGGTTTTGGTCCCTTCCCATGACCCTGGGAAACTGTGACCGTCATAAATATGAAACAGTTGCCAAGCATCTGAATGTAAATCACAAGACCCTGGAGAGGCTGCAACATTCCAGCTGATTGGCGCTTCTTCTGGGCTCAGCAGAAGCGCCAGGATCAGCGCCGAGCTCCAGCTGGACTCTGGCACTGATCCGGGTGCTTCCGCTGAGCCCTGACGGCCTCGAAGAAGCACCGATCAGCTGGAAAGCGGCACTGATCCTGATGCTTCGGCTGAGCCCTGAAAGCCCTGCAGCTCCAGCCGTCTCTCGCTCAGGCTTGTGCGGTGCTGCCACTGGTTCAGCTCATTCCCCTCCCCCGCTACCACTTTTCTAGGATGGTCGCGTACCACCTGCCAGGTGCCAATGTACCACAGGTGGTACCCATACCCCTGGTTGAAAAGCCCTGCTCTAAAGCAGGGGTCCCCAACCCCCTATCCGGGGACTGGTCCCGGGCCGCGGCATGCCACCAACCGGTCCGCACAAACAAGCAAAGCCCCATCCGCGAGATGCAGGCAGCACACAAAACCACGCACTCTCCGGTCCACGGAAAAACCTCTTTCCACGGAACTGGTCCCTGGTGCCCAAAAGGTTTGGGACCTCTGCTCTAAAGGTTGAAAATCTATAGGGCATTACTCCTAATACACAGCTACTCTTTGCCTTAGATTCGTTTAGTGACATTCAAAGTTACGGTGTCCCAAAGGTGTTTTTTCAAGAGGCAACTGGACTTTCTTGTTTTTCCTTTGAAGACGTTTCGCTTCTCATCCCGGAAGCTTCTTCAGCTCTGACTGGATGGTGGGGAATGGAAGGAGTTATACTCCTTGCAGACAGCTGGTCATTTGCCTCCTTTTAGCGAGTCGTTGAGGCCACTTGGAGGTTTATCTGTGTCCTAAGGATCATGTGAGTGGTGCAAATGGATGTGAAGCCTTCTTGGAACTGCTGAAAGGACCATGTTGTAGACTGGAGATAGATGATGTTGTATCCCTCTCCCTCTGTTGAAAGAGGGCTATTCCATTCTGAACAGGTGGCCTCAACGACCCTCTAAAATAAGGCAAATGACCAGCTGACTGCAAGGTGTACAAATCCTTCCATTCCCCACCATCCAGTCAGAGCTGAAGAAGCTTCTGGGATGAGAAGCGAAACATCTTCAAAGAAAAACAAGAAAGTCCAGTTGCCTCCTGAAAAAGCATCTTTAGGGCAGCTTTCTTATGCCAGATGTGGAGGATGCCATAAAGCTGATCCCTGAGTCCATCCAACATAGATAAGAGCTAAACTAAAAATTACGGAGTTATTGTAAAAAAGTTGTAAAAAAGATGTTGAGACTCTAGAAAGAGCAACAAAGATGATTAGGGGACTGGAGGTTAAAGCATATCAGGAACGGTGGCTGGAATTGGGTATGTCTAGTTTAATGAAGAGAACATGATAGCAGTGTTCCAGTATCTCAGGGGCTGCCCCAAAGAAGAGGGAGTCAAGCTCTTCTCCAAAACACCTGAAAGCAGGACAAGAAGCAACAGATGGAAACTAATCAAGGAGAGAAGCAACCTGGAATTAAGGAGAAACTTCCTGACAGAACAATTAACCAGTGGAACCACCTGCCTCCAGAAGCGGTGAATGCTCCAACACTGCAAGTTTTTAAGAAGAGACTGGACAGCCATTTGTCCGAAATGGTATAGGGTTTCCTGCCTGAGCAGGGGGTTGGACTAGATGACCTCCAAGGTGCTTTCCAATTTCATTATTATTATTATTATTATTATTATTATTATTGTTGTTGTTGTTGTTGTTGTTGTTGTTATTATTATTATTATTATTATTATTAGTAGTAGTAGTAGTAGTAGTAGTAGTAGTAGTAGTAGTAGTGTTGAGATCCTTTTATAGAAAGTTTACCCTGGAGGGGAGATTCGATCTCCGATTCTCTGATACTTGCCTCATATTCCTTGTCCACTGCTCCGGGGCTGAGAAGGAAGTCCGGATATCCGATCATCACCATCATGTGTTTCAACTATAAGAGAAGCTGGTTTCAAACACCCGGCTGACATCTTGAGTATCTCCATGAGGGGTTGGGAACAGGGTGCCCGCAGGCCCAGCTGAGGTCTCAGCTGGGTGCTGGCTATGACACCCATCGAACGCTCCAGATCCAGGTGGGATTTCTTTTAACAAGGCTTTAAAATTCAATGCTAGTTGACGAGCCCAAGGTTAACCATTAAGGGCTTTTTGATTTGTAAGAATGAACCTGGGTATTTTTGGGAATAGAATAGAATAGGATAGGATAGGATAGGATAGGATAGGATAGGATAGGATAGAAATCTTTATTGAGAATAGAATAAAATAGAACAGAACAGAATAGAATAGAATAAAAAATGAGTAGAATAGAATAGAAAATGAGTAGAATAGAATAGGATAGGATAGAATAGAATTATGAATGAAATTACAGAATAGAATAGAATTATAGAATAGAATAGAATTATAGAATAGAATGGAATAGAATACAATATAGAATAGAATATCCACTCCGTCTCTCTCCCTTCCCCTCTCTCTTTCACCCTCCCACCCTCTCTCTCTCTCTCTCTCTCTCTCTATCTATCTTTGCCCTCTTTTTATTATTTTTTTTGTAATTGCATTTTGGACTGTATCAAATTTTTAAGATTTGCTAACACTTAATAAACAAACTTCAAGCTCCATTTCTTTGCTAGCTAAATCAAGTAGCATACAGGTGTTCTCCAATCTGGATCAATTTATTTTTATTTATCGAATGTGTATGCCATCCATCTCATTACCCAAAGGGACTCTGGGCAGCTTTGCAAACTAGCATGGCCCAGGCTCCCTACCTTTGCTTGGGCTGCTCTCTGGGTTTCTTCATCCATCCATTCCAGTTCTTCGAGTCGCTGGTCCAGAATGTGCTTGATATCTTCCACCAACTGTTGCACCTGTTCCCAATAAAGAGAAGGGGAGAAGAAAAATCATTTGTTGGCGAAAGAGAACCACATTCACCAGGCATCACAGCCTGATTCTCTGGGTTCTGGATGCTGCAGTATTTAGAATAGAATTCAGAACAGAATAGAACAGAACAGAATAGAATAGAATAGACTAGAACAGAACAGAACAGAACAGAATAGAACAAAACAGAATAGAATAGAATTCAGAATAGACTAGAATAGAATAGAATATTCTATAGAAAAGCTATAGAATAGAATAGAATAGAATAACAGAATATAATAGAATAGATTCTATTCTATTCTATTCTATTCTATTCTATTCTATAGCTTTTCTATATTCTATTCAATAGAATATAGAAAAGCTATAGAATAGAAGAGAAGAGAGAATGAATAGAGAAGAGAATAAATAGAATAGAATAGAAGAGTAGAGAAGAGAGAATGAATAGAAGAGAAGAGAAGAGAAAAGAGAGAAAAAATAGAAGAGTAGAGTAGAAGAGAAGAGAAGAGAGAATGAATAGAATAGAAGAGAGAATGAATAGAAGAGAAGAGAATAAATAGAATAGAATAGAATAGTAGAGTAGAAGAGAAGAGGAGAATGAATAGAAGAGAAGAGAGAATGAATAGAAGAGTAGAGTAGAGTAGAGTAGAGTAGAGTAGAGTAGAGTAGAATAGAATAGAATAGAATAGAATAGAATAGAATAGAATAGAATAGAATAGAACAGAAGCTGGAAGGGACCTTGGAGATCTTCTAGTCCAGCAGTTTTGCAAAAGCCCCGTTTCCATCCCTCAGAACGGCTGCCTGTCCTCGCCTCTTGTGCTGTCAATGCGACCGATTCGCAGGCTATAAATTGTGGTGGTGCACTCAACACGGCATCCTCTTGTCAAGAGAGCTGAGGACGTACATAACCGATCCTCTCTCATTAATCACTCTTCGGGGATCCATTCCTCTGACATCCGCGGACGGTGCCAAGATTTGAAAGACACTCTCTCCCGGGCTGAACAGTCTACGCTCAGGATGGGCTGGGTTACCTACCCTTGTCTTGCTCCTCCAATCTCCTCACATCTGGAGATTATAACCTTCTGTCTTTTGACTACTGCATGGGGCTGCCCTGGAAGAGTATAGGGACGCTTCAATGGATTCACCACGCAGCGGCTCTGGTGGTTTTGCGCAAGTCCCGATTTGTGCACGTCACCACATCTCTTGGGAGAATTGCACCGGCTGCCCGTTTGCTTCCGGGTCCAATTCAAGGTGCTGGTGGTGCCTTCAAGGCCCTCCATGGCTTAAGGCAGGGGTCCCCAACCCCTGGTCCGTGGACCAGTACCGGTTCACGGCATGCCAGCAAGTGGGCTGCACAAACAAGCAAAGCTCCATCCTTGGGATGCAGGCAGTATTCAAAACCACACCCTCTCCGGTCCGTGGAAAACCCTTTCTCCGTGGCAACGGTCCCTGATGTCTAAAAGGTTGGGGACCTCTGGCTTAAGGCCAGTTTATTTGAAGGACCGTTTTTTTCCCAGTTACATCTACCTCAGTGGTTCTCAACCTTTTTAATGCCACTACCCCCCACCGGTCGTAAGTCGAGGACTACTCAACCGGTCGTAAGTCGAGGACTACTCAACTGGTGCAGCACCATTTGCAGAATGGGACTTTTGACGGGCTCAGCAGGGCAGAGACAGCTTGGACAATTCCTATTGGCTTTTGAAAGCCAATAGAATTAGACTCTATTCAAGAGAGTCTATGAGTCTATTCTATTGGCTTTCGAAAGCCAATAGAATAAAAGAGAGTAGCACAGCTAAGGAAAAGGGGAAAAAAATGGCGGACTGCATTGTTTGGCGACCCCCGTGAAATGGTCGTTCGACCCCAAATGGGGTCCCGACCCACAGGTTGAGAACCACTGATCTACCTGATCCACCGGAGGAGGGAGCAGAGCATGCTATGGGCCCCTTCTCCGCCCGTGCCCTGTAGCATCATCTGTACGCAACTGGGCGCGAGGGTGGAGTCTTGTCCCTGCAGCCCAGCTGCCATGTGCTTGGCTGCGCTGCTCCACGTGGGCCGCGCCTGGGGGTGACTCCTCTGGGGGGGCTGCTGGTGAGGAGGGGGCCGTGGGCGGAGGCGGGGCTGGGGCGACGGTGCGCATGCCCCCAGAGAGGGCTCTGAGTGCCGCCTCTGGCACGCCTACCATGGGTTCGCCACCACTGATCTGGTGGGACCAAGAAGAAGGGCCTTCTTTGTGGTGGCTCATTGTCATGGATCTGCCCCTAGTGAGTGTTGATGGAGCAAGGGGCCCTTGTGTGCTTATGCCGTGTATCCTGGCCTCTTAGACTCCTGGACTGTTCTCCTGAACTTTGTGCATGCCCGTTGGACTTGGTTACCCAGTGACTCTTGCCATACTGAGCTCCGAATCCTGGCCTGCCCAACGGGGACGCTTTCCGAGCACCTGTTTGTTGGGTTTGAATAAACACCTGTAGAACTCTGGCCATACATGCGTGGGGTGGTGGGGGTGAAGTGGGGCAGCACACAGTCAAGGAGAGAAGCAACCTGGAACTAAGGAGGAATTTCCTGACAGTGAGAACAATTAACCAGTGGAACCACCTGCGTCCAGAAGCGGTGAATGTTCCAACACTGGAGGTTTTTAAGAAGAGACTGGACAGCCATTTGTCTGAAATGGTATAGGGTTTCCTGCCTGAGCAGGGGGTTGGACTAGATGACCTCCAAGGTCCCTTCCAACTTTATTACTATGATGATGATGATGCACAGTCAGCCAGATGTTCAGACTGGATTT